GTCTTGGGGCCGTGCCACAGCACCGAGAATACTCTTCCCTCGTCCAGCAGGAATGACGGCTTGCGCCAAGGAGATGACGCCGCTCCGCGCCAGGCGAGCCTACCAGTGTCGACAACCACGACCCCAGAGGCGCACGAGGTGAACTAAAGCCGACAGACATGGATCACGACCGAGACCACGACCGACACCAGCATGTACCCGACCTCGAGGTGCTTGGTCGCAAAGTTGTCAGAGTTGCCGAGCTCTTCAAAGCCCATGAGACGGTCCTGCGGCCAATGCCAGCGCGCGTGGATGAGAGGCCGTTGTGGCTGCGATCAGCCTGCCCCCCAGGGTGAAGGTCAGACGCACCTTGACTACGCCATCCAAGAAGCAAAGCACGGTGGGGAGAACGGTAATCTTTAATCGTTGGGCCAAGAACGGTGTTTGCTCGGCATTGACCTCGACAAAGCGGGTGGTAAAGTGATGCTTGGCCATCTCGCGCAGATGGGATGTCATGATGGCGCAGCGCCGAAAGTCTGGGTGTGAGAAATGGCAGATGACGCGCTTTTGGGACGTCGTAATGTCAAAAAGCTGCTTTTCATCCTCCAGCAGCCTGGTGCAACAGGGAATGGCGGCAGAGCAAGAATTCAAATCAGCCCCGTGCATAGGTTGTCATTTCCGTGCTGCTGGGACAGGATTGGATCGCGAGAAGGACAAGCTGGGCGTCGTCGTGCCTCTGGGGCCCCGTGTGTGGCGGATAAAGCGGGTAAGACGAATGAGAACCAAGCTAGATTCTTACGTGAGATCACCACACTGTTGTGACTTGGCTTCCTTGAGAGCTTCCATCTGCTGCTGGAAGGCAGCCATGCGGGCTTCGCGGATGTGTGCCGGCTACGCCATTTCAAGACCACACACGCCACTTGGTTAAAATAGGACCCTTGCCCGAAGCAGGCACAAACATGACGGGACCGAGACAGGCGAGCACTGACAATGTCAAATTCGTCAAACTCGTCCTCAAGCAGCTACACGGTGACGAGGGCACGCATGGCCACCACGACACCCCCACGATAGCAGGACGATCCATGCAGGTGAGCCCTTGGAATCGTCGAAAAAGAAGCGAACCGGAAATTCGGCCGAGCCGATGCGGCAGCGCAAAAGGCCCGAGAAATACAGTAAAAGTAAGAGATGGGAAGCCGATCGCCAGCACCGACCTCCTCCTGCAGGGCTTCATCCTCAAGCGCCGCTTCCGCAGCGTGTGCATTGATACGACCAGCCATGATGTTCCAACGAGAGGCAGTCGAACGTCGATCAACAACTGCAAAACAATCAGCACGCATGATGAAACAGCAAACACCAGAACCAGCCACAAGCAAAAGCACTTCAACAGCAACCCCCCCACAAAGGCCGCACAACCAGCCAAAGCGCCGATACCGATCAGCAGCGCCACCCAGAAGGCTCTGCCATTCTCACCCAAACACCCGAAAAAAAATTTTAAAACTCTCTCTCTCTCTCTCTAACTTTCTCTCTCTCTCTTCCTCTCTCTCTCTCTCTCTCTCTCTCTCTCTCTCACTCTCTAACTTTCTCTCTCTCTCTCTCTAACTTTCTCTCTCTCTCTCTAACTTTCTCTCTCTCTCTCTCTGCTGCTGCTGCTTTTGAAGAACAACCTCTGTGTGTGATTCGTTGCCAGGAATAAATGTGTTTCAAACGTCTGTTCTACACACCTCTTCTGGAGATTGTCACGCTCTCTCTCTCTCTCTGTCTCTCTCTCTGTCTCTCTCTCTCTCTCTCTCTCAAACTCTCTCTCAAACTCTCTCTCAAACTCTCTCTCTCTCAAACGCTCTCTCAAACTCTCTCTCAAACTCTCTCTGTCTCT